AATCTGACCGCGGTCTGAATTTCCCTGGAAGTAATAGTCGGTTTCTTATTATACCTGGCAAGTCTAGAAGATTCCTGAGCCAATTTCTCAAAAATATCATTGATAAAACTGTTCATAATTCCCATAGCCTTGCTTGAGATACCAATATCCGGATGAACTTGCTTGAGCACCTTAAAGATGTAGATCTTGTAGGTTTCAACACTCTTTTTAGCCTTCTTTTTCTTCTTGTCAGCACCACTGGCGCCGTCCTTCGCCGGTAGCTTCTTCCCGGCCTTTGGCTTCTTCTCCGCCGGAGCTTTCTCCTCAGCCGGCTTCTTCTCGGCGGGCTTCTTCTCTGCCTTAGGAGCCATTGAAAATTCTAGAGAGGAAGAGTAAAATTTAGATATTTGTTATAGAGAAGCAAAATGTATTTTGCGATGTTGAAATGTGAAATGAGCGTTTGGTATTTATAGATTGTTAATGCTCGTTTTAATTGGATAATAGAGAGTGGCGTGGATTGATGAGCTGGAATGATTAGAAGCGTTGATTGGCGAAGTACTTGAAAATGAGATCGACGGTTGATAGAGAATGCGTGAAAAGTAGGAAATGTGTACAGATTACTGCTTTAGAAGTACACGTGGGTATCTGTTATTTGTTTTAAGGTAGTGTTATGGATCGCTGACCTGGACTTCGAAAAAGATTGGAAAAAATTTTTTATTTTAATGGCCAAAATTAGGATGAGCCAAAATTTATGAGGCTCTGTAACTAGGGTGGGCATGGTAAATCCGAAATCTAAATCGAAATTAGAAATTTTTGAGTTTTTGATTTGGAATTTAGAATTACGGATTGGATTTTAAATTTAATTTTTAAAATTTTTGGATTACGGATTGGATATTGTCTTTAGTACTTCGTATTTTTGGATATCCGAAATCATTATATATTATATTTAGTCTATTATCCATATATCAATAGTAATATTATATTTAGTCTATTATCCATATATCAATAGTAATAAGTTCAATACTCTACCCATTACATTAGATATTATCTCAAATACTCAATATTAATTACTAAATTACTATCAGAATACTTTCTATTTGAACATGATTTTATTATTGACATTTCTTATCAGTCGTAGTAATGTCTTTGTTGTATTTTTTTATAATAACTTCATTACTTGAATACTTTATTTGGATGATTGGGGCAAGAACGAGGAACTTTTAGCCAATTT